ACGTGGCCATACTTGGGCCAACCTGTGTGGCTGTCTGGTGATTAGTTGTTATGACCCTGTAATGTGACCTTCATCTCAGCCAAACCGTCTCTGTGGTTACGCCTCAAGAAACGCGCTGCATCTGGGAAGAAGGCTGTTTTCATTGCCAGGCGTCGGACCTGGTTCGAATCGGAATGCACTGGAAAATGTAGGACAAACTAAACACTACTTAAAAATAGGATTAGGTGAAGATGATGCATATGTCTTTGCAATATGGTGGTGCAGTGCATGAGTAAACTTAAATTAAAAAGAAACTCACACTGGAACTCTTCCAGGTATTCCAACATCTCATCTGGCTACATGTTTGGGTTGCTGTTTGATGGTGTAACTTTCAGCCAAAGTACACGCCGAGAAAAAGAATAAATTGCTGCATGTATGCCAAGTGGGTATTCTTGTTTTCTAAATCCCATCAGCTTGTCATATTGGTCAAATTTATTAACAGTTAGGGCCCTGTAATAACATTTTTTTAACTGTTTATTGTAAGCTCTACAAATGCAAACTGCAAAGAAATAGCAAGTGCTGCAGAGCGGCAGTGCTCTCTGCGGTCAGATATGAGCAAAACATACAATTTGCAGAGAGAGTATATTACGTATTGCAGAGTACGTATATTATAAAATTGTTTTATTAGTTTGTAAAGGATTCACATGTATTATATTTTTATAACGATTTCATCTCACTTTTGAATAAAATCGGCGCCTCTCTCCTAGTCTTCTGTTTGTGATTGATCCTCTTGAAAGCAATCCTTCTGGATCCAAATTTTGCATTACTGCATAAACATCATCTCTGAAATGGCAAGATCACGGCAAGCAGTTAATGTCCAAAATGAAAAGGCCACATCAAGAAATTACATATGCACAAGTATGACATTGTCTGGGATGTTGACCCTATCATAATAAGAATTTTACAGACCTGTCTATTTTTTCATGAACAGCAGTTCACATATAAGGCACTTTTGTTACATTAACAATCGGCCTAGATATAAACCACTGTGGCAGTTACGGTTTATAACTATAGTCGCACAAACCAATGCTGTATTTTAGTTGGTGCAATACAAAGCATTAGCATTATCTGTAGAACCTAGATATCGTGGCACGAGAAAATGAGATATATGCTATGATGTCATGTTATTATAGGATATTAATTTCATCATACATTTACATAAACGTGTTTCGTTATAAACTTTAATTGGGTGAAAAGGATATATGAGGGACCCCAAAGTATAATAGTGTATAATGGTACTTACCATTGTAATAGGTTTACCCTTATAATAGTACTCTTAAACATATGAAATTACTCTGAAAACATAATAGCGAACACACTAGAGGTGCTTAAAGCTTTTTTGAATAAAGTTTGAAGAGTAATTTTTATTAATTAAAAATTTTAATTTAAACATGTCTAGTATGGCAATTATGTTTAGATGCCCACGTGCCGATACTTCTGGCCAGTCAGGCACATCTTCTCCTTCAGCTTCACATTAATTTGATTCCTCCTCTTAGAATTTTCATTTATCAGTGAGAACCGCTTCCTCACTATGACCATACGCTAGAAAAGTCCATATCATTATGTTCCAATCCTCAAGCCACCAATCCTGTGCTGAATGGTATATTGATTCATCTTCATTTTCTCGTGTAGCATTCTGAGGTAGATCTGCTAAGATTTCCTCTTCTAACTCACATTCATCACCAGAGTCTGCGGCTACAGCCTCTAATTCTGCTTTTCTCCGTCGCCACTGCGGATCGCACACGTGCAGGAAGGACTCTGTGACCCGCAAAGGTCCTTCTGACGACGGTGTCAACAATTCATCGTCTGGTAGTGCACACTCTCTCGCTTTGCCAATCTGTCCCACAACTTTGCGATATGCTAAGGGAGTGAGCACGTTTTTATACAACGGTCATCATTGGTGATGTCACTCGACTCATGGGTTGCCGTTGTTATGCGTTCGGTGAGTGCCTTGTGCTCTCGCTCTGATCTTAGCACACGGAGTACTTGAGAATAAGTCCGCAAAAAATGCAGACAGGGTTGCATACTATCACACACACTTTTGATGTGACCGTTCAGACTCCTAACGGTTATTTGTTCCATCACTGATGTTGAAGTGCTGTGCTTTATAGCAATGTGTACCCACTCATGTTTGAGCGCCAGCCAGTTCTTGCAAAGTATTCAACGGCAGGAGGAACATTCATATCCTCTAGAAGGGGCGCACTGTTCCTCAAGCATGCCTCAGAGCGTGCATGCGCCATGTCACTAAAACATCCTAGAAGTGCATCGCGCACACCAGCGCGGACTCCCATCTTTTCACAGTAATTTCCCGAGAGAAGCTGCGTAGTGTGTGGAAGAGACACAGCTGTAATGTGGCATTGGGGAACGCATCTGACAAGACATTTCGTTCAGTAACATCTTTGGTCGCATTATGACCTCAGTGCGTAGCTATGCTTTGTTGTGTGACTGAACATCGGAAAGAAGGATCAGTTGCTATTGAACTACATTTTTTAACATATTCCGATGATAAGTGTTTAATTAATCAATTTTAAAAGGCAGTGTTGCGTGTTACTTTACATAAAAAACATTGAAACGCACTGAACACATAATGTTGAATTTTTGTATAAATTGCTGTTATGACAGATATATACAGTACACAAATTTAATCTATTATCTGAAATGCTGAAAACTGAAAAGCTTCGAAAACCGGAATTTTTTTCATGGAGGTTGGCTGCACACCAAAGCCAGTGTTTGGCCACAA